GAGAGAGAGAGAGAGAGAGAGAGAGAGAGAGAGAGAGAGAGAGAGAGCGCGAGCGAGCTCTCTCTGCCATCCATAGCTCATTTTCCAGTTTCAGGTTCCTGTGGTCAATATAGTCTGAAAATGTTATGAGGAAAATTCCAGAAATATACAGTTTTTGAGCTTTTTTTTTTTTTAAATCATAGCTTTCTATTATAATTGCTCTACATGGTCAGGATTTACTAGCCACTGTTAATATTTTTCTGTGCTTAACTGTATATTAAAAACATGCATGTCTATGAAAAACAGTGCATATAAGGCTTTGGATAACCTAGCTTCACGGAGCACTGTGGGAGCTTGGAGCTCTGAGCTCATCTCCCACGGATAAAGGGCTATTCTCTCAGAGTCTGAGGCAAGTGCGTGCGCATAAGTAGGAGTCATGTGACTGACAGCGGCCAGTGCAGCTCAAGGCTACAACACTGCAGACTGCTGTTTCCTTCTCCTCAGTGGTCTGGCACATTCACTCCCACACAGTGCTAAACATCTATCGGAGTTGGAAGTTCCGGCTCAGTACGTAGACCTTCATGGCCGTCTTTGCAACCGTAACCGTGATAGTTCACGGCCTTGATTACTGCCTCATGCGCTATTTGTGACTATATACCCCCCACCCGACCCCGGCATGTTCACCATCGTGTATTTCATTGCCTAGAGGGCGTCATTATAGGGAGACTGAGGACCGGAGCAAAGGGGAGATCAGCCCAGGGATCTACTTCATTTCCACAAAATGAGGCCCAGAGCTGAAAATCAACCACAAGAACAACCTGGGGGTTATCCACATTGTCTATATTTATGCTAATCAGCGCAGACTCCAGAGCACTGACAGCTCGGCTGAACACAACTGGAGAGAACAGGGCTCCCTACAGCTTCTGCAGCAGGCATGTGCCGGCTTTACAGCCCGAGGTCTCCCAAGTCTAGAACTCAGTATTGAAGTTCTGGCTCTAGACACTGAATGCTGCTCCAGAAAACTACATATTCTTGCCTTGCAAAGACACCTCTGTTTCCCCATGATTTATTAATCAAAGAAAAATTCATGGACACTCACTTTAACTACTCTCAAGTCCTACCACTAAAAATAAATAAATAAATAAATAAATAAATAAATCTCTAACTTTCATTAACAACGATAACTTTGAAAATGAATACAGAACAAAACTCAAATACGTTAACAATTCAATAATTTAATACATTGTAAGTCAAACAGGCAGCTGAGCATAATGGCATACACCTTTAATCCCAGTGCTTTGGGAGGTAGACAGGTGGATGGTTGAGTTGGAGGCCTGGTCTACAGAGTGAGTTCCAGGACAGCCAGGGTTACATAGAGAAACTTTGTCTCAAACCAAAACAAATCAAACCAAACAAAAAAGTGTGCTCAGTCATGGCCCTGCATGTGAATGCTCTAACTAATTTCCTTCCTTTCCTTCTTTTCTCTTTTTAAGTACTACAGAAAGGGCGACCCACACATCAGCTTCTTCGGATGACCAAACTCTCCATCATACACTCGGATTGAGGGGCTCTGAGGACAAGAGCCATTCCTTGCAATCCTCTCTATGTTCTGATATTCACAGCCTATATCCACATTAGCCCAGTGCCTCTCAGCAGGTGACATCAGAAGATAACTGTGGCGGGCAGCGTGAGGCACACTGAGAGCACCTCTTAGGGTTTATGTATCTTCCTCCCAGGAATCGTATTTTGAAAGGGACCTGAGTTGCCACCTTCATCTCCTGCCCCTGACAGATCTTGTTATGAACTCCGGAGGGGAAGAAAACTAGAATTTCTAGGTAGAAACAAGCAAACCAGAAGTCTTTCTATTTCTCCCCTCAAAGCTTTAAGGTCTCCAAAAATGGAGATTGCCCAAGTCAGAAAAATTATTCTTTGAAAAGATCAGATCGTGGCAACCCGAGATTTTAAGTTCAGGTGACCGTTTCTATGTTGTAAAACTTCAGGGGATGTGTTCCCTTTTGTCCTCCACAGGAGAAACACCAGTCTTCCTGAAAAGAGATTTGATCATGGGCCTGAGCCAAGAACAGCCAGCCAGACTAGGCAGAGAGTAAAATGCAAATTTAATTTGTTCCTAATAGCTCCACCCACTGACTCCACTGGCTCTGGCTACTACTCAAACCTTAAGATGAAATTGCAATATTCATTTATCCAGGGCTTTCTTCCAGTTAGACATTGCTGAGTGAAGTCATAATTTATTGGGCTATGAGCCTTTGATTATATAAACATTTTCCCATTTAGCAGGCCCAGCCATCCTTGTAATAGATTTTATAATTGCCCTGGCTATATTGCCCCAGTGACGAAGCTGCAGTACAAACACAATTTGGACGAGCAAGTCTAGAAAGAAAGGGTCTCACCATGGCGTCTGCTTTATGTTTCATCCGCTTAGCTTCTCGCATAAAATAATCTGCACTTCGAGGCCTGCAAGAGGAGAACATCAAATGCCATTATTGCTTCAGTGTGAGATCTATGGGAAATTTGCTTTCCTTTCATTCAACATAAAGCGCAATTTAAAAAACTCTGCTTAATACAGAATCATGGCTACTTTTTGCACTTTCAAATTATAGCCTGTACATAAAATACATTATTTTTCTCCTAAGTTAGCAATTCAAAGCCCACTCAATATAAGCAGATAGACTATATTTATAGTTATTTTAAAATGTGTTCCCTCAGTGCCTAATTTGTGAATAAGGTTTTTTTTTATTGTATGGATAAGAAAAAAGTAAAACAATCTTATTTTGCACAGTATCTACAGAAACCCATCTGCCTTTTAGCTTAAAAAGTGTAAATATGCCTGATGATAATATCATAGATATGTATGGGTGAATATTTATTTGTTCTTGTGACTGTGCCATTTATATACAGAAATGGTACCTGGAGTTGTGTTCACATATATTTAATTATCTTAAAGCCTCACAGTGAAACTAAAGAACTGTGATGCAGTGTGATTATGTTCCAGTTGTAATAAAGTTAATTGTAAAATGATGTCTACCTTGTAACAATGCAAAGACACCATGTATCGTCTGGAGTGCTGATTAGCTAGTCGGTAAACAGACTTGTGTGATATTACAGCAATAACCCTGGCCACTGCCAGTTCTTCTGGGAGATGAAGGTAATTTGTCCCGAGACCGATTGCATGTGCATAACAACCCTGAGTCACATGCACAGGACAGCTCTGCAGAGGATGGTGCCTTTAAAAATGCTTAGTCTAATAGACTAATAAAGCAAAAATCCTTCACATCCTTTAGATGATATAAGCATGAACTTCTTTGCATTCTGTGTGTTATGTGATCAATAAACTTGACCTATTCATGAATACCATCCAGCCAGGGGATATGATGTCAGCAGAGACATTAGTCATAGGTTGTTTAACCTATTATATGCTTATTTTAAACTGTCTTGTTTTAGATTCTAATGGGTCTTTTTTTTTTTTTTTGGTTTTTCTAGACAGGGTTTCTCTGTGTAGCTGTCCTGGAACTCACTCTGTAGACCAGGCTGACCTTGAATTCAGAAATCTGCCTGCTTCTGCCTCCCAAGTGTTGGGATTAAAGGCGTGCACCACCACTGCCAGGTCCTCTAATGGGTCTTTTATCTCACTGCAATACCAGGTCATCAGAACATTCCTTTATTCAAAGAGATCAGAATGCTTAAAAAAATCAGTTTGTGCTATGATAATGAATGTGGGTTTATACCACATTTCATTAACCAAACTAAGAAACAAAATCATAATCAAAGCAATTAATTAGTTTTGGGAAAAAAATTGGAATAAAAAAAATGAGAGACTGTCAGGACTCAAAGGGAAGAACCTTAGATGAAATGCCCACCAGTGGGGAGAGGGAACTTGTAGAGTCCACCTCCAGTAGATAGACAGGGGATCAAGTGGAGGGATGGGGTTGCCATCCCACAGTCAAAAACTCTGAGAATTGTTCCCATCTAAAAGAACTGCAGGAACAAAAAGGGAGAAGAGATGGGGAAAAGTGGTCCAGTGACTGGCCCAACTTGGGATCTATCTCAAGGGGAGGCTCCAGTACCTGACACTATTACTGATGCTATGGGGTGCTTTCAGACAGGACTCTAGTATGGCTGTCCTCCAAGAGGCCCAACAAAGAGCTGACTGAGACAGATACAGATACAGATACTTATACCCAACCATTGGACTGAGGTTGGGGACCCCTGTGGTTGAATTAGGAAAAGGCTGGAAGAAGCTGAAGAGAAGGGCAACCCCACAGAAAGACCAGCAGTCTCAACTAACCTGGACCCCCGAGATCTCACAGACACTGAACCACCAACCAGGCAGCACACACGAGCTAGTCCAAGGCCCCTGACACATATACACCAGAGGACTTCCTGGTCTGGCTTCAGTGGGAGACAACATGCTAAACTTTTGAGAGACTTGAGGCTCCAGGGAGTGGGGAGGTCTGGCGGGGAGAGGGGACATCCTCTTGAAGACAGGGGGGAGGAGGAGTGAGATGAGGAAATGTGGGAGGGAAGACCAGGAGGCGGGGCAATGACTGGACTATAAAAAAAATAAAATAAAAAAAAGGAAAGTTAACACACACACACACATACACACACACAAAGCACATCATTTCCTGTTTCTTATTTCTCTACAGATATTGTCAGGGTTGTGGCAGTATACTGAGGCTGACATGATGGTTTGTTACTATAAAGAAGTGGCAATGCAGCTGCAGAATTTCCTGAATGCTACAGTCTGTCTTTCAGCAATGGCTCCTTCACCATCCTTGCTCCCATCCTTGTCTGAAGTCTTCTGTTCCCCTTGGTGGGTCTCTGCTGTGGCTAAAGGTTTCCTTAGTTAAGAGGGCCTGCTCCTGTCATCTCTGCTTTTCTAGTTCATCTCCCAGGGACCCAAGGCTCCACACAAATGCTCTTTTAGTTGTCTTAACAGAATGCTATTCCTTCTTTGGCTACAGATGACTGGTTCAAACTTGGGCAATTTTCATTGTTACTTCTTGTTTGCTTCTGCTTCCAAACAAACTGTTTCTAGAGCAGTTTTAGATTCACAGTAAAACTGAGCAGAAATTACATTGTTTCCATTTGTGCTATTTGCCCCACACATGTACAACCAACTTTGTTACCGACATCCTGAACTAAAGTGAGTGACACTGTTACAGCCACAAGACACTGGTGACCATCTGAAGTCTATGGATTAGGGGTCATTTCTTTTCTATTTTGAAGTCTTAGTTTTACTTTTTTGTAAAATAATTTTTTTTTTGTTTGTTTTTTTTCGAGACAGGGTTTCTCTGTGTAGCCCTGGCTGTCCTGGAACTCACTCTGTAGACCAGGCTAGCCTCGAACTCTCAAACTCAGAAATCCGCCTGCCTCTGCCTCCCAAGTGCTGGAATTAAAGGCGTGCGCCACCACCGCCCGGCGTAAAATAATTTTTTAAACCTTTATTTCATGTGAATGGCTTTCTGTCTACATGTGTGTTAGTATACCATGTGCATGTTGGATCCCCTGAGATCTGAGTTACAGACAGTTGTGGTGAGTGCTGGGAATTGAACCCAGGTCTTCTGTTAGAACAACCAGTGCTCTTAACCCCTGAGCCATCTCTTTAGCCCCTAGGGATCATTTCTTGATGGTTTAGATCCTGTGGGTTTGGAACACTGTGCCATGACATGTATCTGCTGTTAGGGCATTGGAAGGGGCAGAGCTGCTGTTCTGATTGGTCGTTGGCTTCACAGCCCGACATAGACAATTAGAACTCGCCTGCAGCCAAGCCTAGACTGACTCCCGAGCTTCAGACACCAGGGTCAACAGTGTGAGGCAAGTCTAGTTTTCACTGGTTCTCTCTGGTTGCCAGATGTGTCTGTGCTTCCTCTTACCATTCTTCCTCTCTCTCTTTTTTTAAATTTAATTAAAAAAAATTATTTGTATGTATATGAGTACACGTGTAGCTGGCTTCAGACACACCACAAGAGGGCATCGGATCCCATTACAGACGGCTGTGAGCCACCATGTGGTTGCTGCAAATTGAACTCAGGACCTCTGGAAGAGCAGTCAGTGCTCTTAACCGCTGAGCCATCTCTTCAGCCCCCATTTTTCTTCTCTTAAGGAAGAGCCATCTGAGTTGGCTTTTATTATAGCTTTGGGGTCTGTAACTCTACTTCCCTTAGAGTCAGTCTGGAAACTTAGGCCTTGACCAGAGTTTCTAAAATATAGTTTCTGTTGTTTCACCATCTTGTCCTAAAATCAAACTTTGGAGCCTCTGAGGTCAAATCCTCATTCATGTTAGGTAATTGTGAGGGACTTGGCACACAGTCTAGGCAGGTTCTATCAGTTTTGGTGACCTGCTTTGAAGCTCTGTTCTTCCTTTCTCCTGCCCAGTATGTTGTGCTTTCTACTCATTCACTGAGAGTTCATCACATTCTATCATGAACTAAAGGTTATGATAGACATTGGTCAGACCTTGGAGTCTGACCACTGTTGGGAACTATTAGCTTAACCCATGCTTCTGCCTCTTTCCTACCACTACAGAGAACTTGTCTGTGCTATACTTGGTGGGTAATTAGTTACCTTCCGAGTTTACAGGGCTACAGTTACTGCATGGGTACAGCCTGGCCACTGGCACATTTCAGCAGGAACCATACCACTGACCTTTTCGGTCTTCCCCACCTACAGTAATCCTTGAATTGTACTGAATTTCTTCTGAGCTTAGGGAAGAGTGTTGCCTTCTGAGAAGGCGCAGCATCATAGCCAATGAGCCGGGGAATGTCTCCATGGCAACTTGAAATTCTCCACATCATTATCTGTTCTACGCTCCAGTATCTAAGTTTGGTCATTTTTGTGTGTGTCCTGTTTTGTAGACCTCACCACTAAAAGACTGTTATTTTAAATGCATTTTGTTCCCATGATAAAAAACTGTCTTGGTTATAAGCTATGGTATCTTAGATTTCACAGATTTTCTAAGTTACCCTTAGAGATGGCAGTGGCTGATAGCCCCTAATGTATGTTCTTCAATCAATGCTATTTTTATCTGTAGCATGTGAATTCGTCTTTCAAACCTGATGTGAAGGCTGAGTCACGGGCACACAGCAGTGCCTGTGGGTAAGTAACACATTTAATTTTCTGACTGGATCCTGGCAGCTACAACAGTAACCTGCCACGCTAAAGGAAAACCTGGTGCTGTCTATGGACCATTTACAAACATGCTCGTTAGAATCTGCTTTGCATATAATGGAGGGCTCACTATACTAAGCACTGAAAATTGCCTGAAGATTGGTCCATTTTCTCCTCTCAGGTGATTTCTGCTGCTATGCTCTTAAACCAGGCCATTATAAAGTCATTGGAACCAATGGGACGTCACTCAGACTGTCCGGTGTGGCTGTGGAGTCACGCTAATCTGAAGGTACTCCTTTCCACAGCCGTATATAAGTCAGTAGGAAAAACGAAATTGTCCTTAC